TATATATAAATTTTTGTATGAATTGAAAAAATTGAAATTTTTATTTTCTGCTGTCCCTGCATGTACACACACGTACACACACGTACACACACACACACACACACACACACACACACACACAGAGATCCTCACATTGTATTAGGTCATCTAAAAAGTATCCGCGGTTTTTTGTCACTAGATGTGTCATATATCTTTGATGGTCATATATCTAGTGACAAAGTACCGCGGATACTTTTTAGATGACCCAATATATTGCACATTATAACCTTATATGTTATATTGTACATTATAATCTCGTATATTATATACCTTAATAGTATAACCTTGTATATTATTTTTGTATATTACCTTCGTACTGAGTGTCCATCTTATTTAATTTCATTCCTTTTATGTCGTCTTTCATTTTTCTTTTGTGCAAATATGTAAGTACTGTGTAAATATGCAATAAACACTTTAGGTTAATTCTTGTTGTGATCACAAAGAAGCTTATAATTTCATTAAAGATCTTGGCAAATCTTTTGTCCTTACTTCGACGCAATTAGATTTCTACAGAGAGAATCAAGGGAGAGTGGAGCAGATAGCGTTTCTCTTGTCTGATTGGTTCTGCTATTTATCTGTCACTTCCGGAAATGTGCATGTGTGCATGTATGTATATGTACATACACACAACTCTGTAGTACAATACTAATGTGTGCAGCAATGTGTGTATGTCCTATCACGCTTCTGCCATATCTCGTACTCACTCTAACAAATGGCGGCTTCCGGCTGAATCCACTATTCTCCCTTGATCTTCTGAATTCTCTCTGGGTTTCAACAGGTTCAATCGGAGATCGAGAAATGCCGCATGAAAATCTTTCCTCTCATGCCATGGAAAAGAAAAATTTCGATTGGTTGATTCTCTTATGCGTTGTGCAAGAGTCTGTGCTGCGGCCATTATTTTTAATCATGGGTTATAGGTATGTATGATCAACGGTATGTTGCAAACGCTTTAAAGCGTTTTTTAATTGATCAGTTTGTAAAATTTTTTCTTTTAATTGATCCATCAAACGCTTCAAAGCATTTGTAGCGAGACTTTGACCACAACCTATTCAGGTTCCCACCCGAGTGCCACCTAGGTATCACTTTATTCTTATCATTTACCGAACATTAAACAAGGATAACAGGATACCCAAAAATAACATGGATACATGATAACAAAAGATGACACTCGGAATCTGAATACGCATGAGTAAAAATAGTGGACTTGTTTCTTTAGGTGCGTTCCATTTTACATATCGTGCGTATGATATATCTTTCTTGTTCAAATATTATAAAGAATAAAAGCTTATGCGTTATGCGTTATGCAAACATCTGTGCTGCGGCCTTAAAGCAGGGAGCACAGATTACTGCATAACGCATAACACATAATGCATGAGGAAATAAACCAATCAAAGTTCTTTATTTCCTTTCTTTCTATAAAATAAAGGACTGATTGGTTTATTTTTTTATGCCTCATGTTTTATACGTTATGCAAAAGTCCCTGCTTATTAGTTGTGTGCGATTACCTATGTGTGGGACCTTATTCTTGACATATTCTTGAACTATTCTTGAAAAATTTCTAGGTCTCTATTCTTGAAATAATTGCGTATACGCAAATATCAAATTGTGAATAATCGCAACAGAAAATCTCTAGAGCAGTATTGACACTTGTAAATAATGCAACGAATGATCATTACCCTATACTTTTCTCTCTCTCTTTTTCTCTCTCTCTCGAAACATATACGTCAATTACATTATATTCAACGTAGCCCAGTTTTTAACCTTTGGGCTGACTAATATTTTGGAAGAAGAAGAAGAAGAAGAAAGGAGACTACGTCGGAGAAACGAAGTGAGTAATGTTAATGTATGTGCACGTCTTAATAGTTAATATATAAATAAATAAATAAATATATATAAAATACAAATTAATTTATAAATATGTAATGATTTATTTGTTTCACGCCGTTTCACGTGTATTCACGTCATAAATAGAAGAGAAAGCGAAGAATAAAAGATTTAATTTATATAAAAAATGGATCTCGATGATATAGTACTAAATGTACCAATTATAAATGCATTACAAAATGCAGAAATAGCAGAACGAAGGAGAATTTTTCATATCAGGAACGATCCCTTTGAATTATCTAATGAACAATTTATTACATTGTTTCGTTTAAATAAAGCCGCAGCAAAATATCTTATTGATCTTGTTGAACCACATTTAACTCCTCAAACAAGAATATCCTCAATCGATCCTACGACTAAGATAATTATTCCAAAATTCATACATAATAGCATACATATATGCTAAACATAAACAATAAATAACTATTTTTCTGTAGGTTAAACATAAATAATAAACAACTATTTTTCTATAGGTTATTATGGCATTGCGATTTTTTGCGAGTGGTTCTTATCAGATGGATATCGGAAAAAATATTTATATGTCAGTCAACCAGTTTCCCGTTGTACTCATGAAATAATAAATGTAATAACGAGACAGGAAATCATGAATCATTGGATTAAATTTCTTTCTACTCTTGCAGAACTGAACGAATTGCGAATAGAGTAAGAATACAAATTTTCTGTAATATATAAAATATATAAAACATGAAATACTAAACATGAAATGTGTATATAGATATGTATATAATTATTTTGTAAACTTTTATATAAGTTTTCAAGCCAATCAATAATGCAAATTTAATAAATTTTCTTTTTTTTTCTATTCTATTGAAGGGAATATTAAAATAAACTAGTGAGATAATCAAATCTTCATTTCACTCACAAAAATAAAATATATTGTTGTAGAATATTTGGAAATAAAAATATAAAAATTTTTTTTTAAACTGACATTGTACCTTATTATATGTGTGTGCATATGAATACTATATGGCCCAAATAAAGAATAAATTAAAAATAACAAAAAATTTAATAATACTATTCTAAATCAGTTTTAAAATAATTATTAATATAAAAAGGAAATTCTTTAGGATTTATTATATTCTACTTTTACTCTATTTATTCTACCTTGTACTACAATATAAATATTATATTTACATTTTTATATTTACAATTTTATAGAATCATTTATTGTAAAAGATGACAAGAATTTTCCTTTCATTAATTGTGGATTCTTTTTCATATATTCAATTAATAAACTTCTTTGTTTATTTATAATGTTTGCACTTCTCTTTTTCTTGTTATCCATCTAAAATATAGAATAATAAACATTTAAATAATTAATATACAACATAAATTTTAGAAATGTACTATACAAATTATATAGGACATTTTATAAACACATATATCTTCGTTTTAAAAAATCATACAAATATATACATATATATAAATACATATCGTTGAAAAAAATGCATGTAATTTTACATGGAAATTACGTGTTTATGACTGAAAAATTACTTAAATTATATAAACATGATTGGAAATTTACTGGAAATTGTAAATTTCCAATTATATTTAGGTAATTTTCCGGTCATAGACATGTAATTATCATGTCAAATTACATGCATTTTTTCAGTGTATAACATATTTACCTTTATAAAAAATATTTCTTTATAAGTATAGAAAAATATGTTATTTAAAATAACAAATAGCTTAAGACTTTCTAATCTTTTTACAAAAATTTTTACAAGTGACATAATTAAAATAAAAAAATATTGTCACAAAGAAAATTATACATATTAAGGTTATGGAAACATATATTTTTTTAATTATATTTGCTAGACAGAAGAAAACTAGTTAAATGTGATTCAATTAATTACCTTTTCAATGTAATAATTTTTACCGGTATATGAATTACCATTCGTTTAACTGTCGGCTGTACGCTTTTGCATCTAATGTTTATAGAATGCTAATATATTTTACAACGTTGCTAAGAGTATTTCCGCATATTAGAAAATGTATACATTTTAAATTTCGAGTGCTACAAAACAGTATCCAAGAATATAATATCAATGGCGTATACGCTTTTTCGTCAATCGCAACGTGCGTATACGTAAAGTTGCGTACAGATTCAAGAATTGAACTCACTATAGTAACTAATAGTAATTAACTAGGCAACTAGGAAACACGTATCACATACCGCCTATTTCTTTCGCTGATATTACATGGAGCAGTTTGCGCGCGTTTTGCGGCAGCACGAGCTAGTGACAAACTCACATTAGTATGAATTTTTTTATATTGTATATTAACTTATTTTTATGCACTTTATCGATACTCTTATTTTTTTAACAGATTTATTTAATAATTGCGTTTAAATCAATTAATTCCATTAAAAAGTGCATAGCAGTGTACGGTAATGTAAGTTACTAGCCCGTGCCGCAAACCGCGCTCCATATAAGGGTGATATTTCATTTGTGCGTTTTTGTCACGTGACAAATTTTTCAAGCCTGTAATTGGCTATGGGAGATCCGAGGATCTCTGTGTTCTGTACACGTTTGTCGTACGATAAAAACGTACAAATAAAATAGCACCCGTACGCGGTTTCCTAGTTACCTAGATAGTTACTATTAGTTACTATATCTCGGTCCATGTAATCGCACCCTGAATCGCGCAGTAGAAGAGGAATTTGATTGGCTGTTCTTCTGTATCATCTAAAAAGTATCCGCGGTACTTTGTCACTAGATATATGATCATCAACATACATCAACTCTCTTTCTATCATTGTCCTATTAATCAAATTATTGGTCGTTGCTACCCAAACGTTCTATCTCTTTCTAGATCTATCAAGATGATTTCAACAAATTTGCGACCAGCTTGCAACTAATGTAGAACCGACTTAACGTAGAACCGGCTTTAGAAAGCTGCATTAGCGGCTTAAGACATTACTTAAGACGGTCTTAAAATAAGAACCGACCATGAATACCGGCTATAGATTACTAGGATCAAGATCACTTTGATAATAAAAAAGGGATGATATTCATCGCTGCATGACGTTCGTCGTTACCGGTGAAAGATCTTTCACCATGGTTGTTGCGTAGTTCGCAAACACAAATGCAGAATAAAGATTTGCGTTTGTTTTTTTCATTGCATGCAGTTGGTTTTCGTCTGTGTGTGTCTTGCGTGCGATGATCATCATTCTGCCTCAGCATTTGCGAACTACGTTTCGCGATTTGCGAATTATGTAGACGCACCCTAACTTTTGCACGAATAACTCACCGCAAGTATAGCAGCGTATTCGTGAACTACATATTAATGAAATGTATTATTTATGAGGGAAAGGGAACGGTTCATGTAATAACTGATATACGTTGACGTTGCTGTTTGTTCGATAATTAATTAAATGTACATGCCGAACTATTGTGCGCGATCGCGCGATTCAGCTACGACATGTGTCGCGCGTTACAGATGTGAAAATGTCGATATAGCGAATTACGATGACAGTTTATTAACGTTACCGCAATTAACAAATTACGGGTGATAGTCTGGAGAAGTGAGAAATTTCTCATCCGGCATTTGACGGATAAAAATCTTGCCTCCGTGTAATACACGATAATAATAATAATCTCTCTCTTGAAGTTCTTTTCCTATTATTTAAAAATATAGGTGAAATGCAGTACCTTCGTAATTCTTCTCCATGTCACCATATTTCGTGCTAACTTGTAGAAATATTTCTAAGAGGCACATTTTCTCATACCGAATCTTTCCTCGTGCCAGAAGGCCATGTAACTTTTTGCCATTTCTCTTCGGCGTTATTCGGCATTTCTCTCGACACTTCCCTTCCGCGTCCGCAGTCGAGGACTCCTCGTTTCTATCGCATGGGAAATGTAACGGCGATTATTTTATGAGACCTCGTTAGCGTACTCTCCTCGCAATTTTCTTGCGAATGAGATTATAGATAATTGTGTCAATTAATACCACGTTATTAAAAGCGAAATCTATTTACTACTTAATTCC